GAACATTCTCCATGCCAGCTCTGGTGCACGCAGCCTGAGAGCTGCCTACTAACTGCCTGTGCTTGTGCAGGGAGCCCAGCAAACATGACCTGCAAGCAACCAAGCTCAGAGGAACAGTGAAGGTACTGCAGGTTGCTTCTCAAGCAAATGCAGGGGCCTGGGAGTACAGTTCCTCCACACACAGCCTGCATCACTTCTGATTTCTCCATGGTGGTATTATCAGCGTGGTGGAGCAGCAGTCATTATCAACAGAAGGAGATCTTAGCAAGTGAAGTTGGAGGGAGAAAACTATGTTGTTTTCACTCTGGAATATTTTGAAATGAAAACATGAGACTCAATAGGGTAAACTCTGAGCTGTCTACAAGGAAGAGATTTTTACATTGTGTTGTGAATTTAAAAAAGACGATAGGTTTTGAACAATTGTCAGATATATTACAAGACAGCATTGAAATCAAACAAACAAACAAAATAAAACAAAATGAAAACTAGAGAACTGAGATTTTCATATCATATGTTCCATAAGTATTCTTTGTTTTCCAGAAGAAAAAAAAAAAAAAAGTTGTTATTCCATTTTTATACATAAGAAATTTGGTCACATAGATATTAGTCACTTTGCTAAAAGCCAACATTTGAGTTAGAAAAAGCAACAGAATTCCTAAATGTCCCTGTTTGTACCTTACATACAAGTTTATCTTTAGTTCTTAAAGTCCAAAAGCCTGTTGTATGTTACCATACCAAGTCCCAAATACAGCATCCTTAACAACAAGCTGGAAAATATGGAAACAAATTTATTCCTAACTAAACCAAGAAAGAATTTGGTCTCTGGCATTCAAAAGAAAAAAAAAAATAAAATAAATTGAACTTGCATGTACTTCCATTTATTTGAAAGTTAAAATACAAGAAGCTCAAGCTGTTCCTATTCAAGCTTCTGCTTTGTGTTCTAAAATACCCATTTTAGTGACATTTCAAACCATAAAACATATTTGTGTGGGAAATAGATGACTAATACTGTCTCTACAAATGACTGTTAAATTTTCTGTTGAACTTCAAAATCTAATTGCCATTGAATGCACTTTAAAATCTCTGACTGAAAGTAATCCTAATATGGAAGTTTCTTTCCTAAACTAACTTAACTTACAAGACCAAGTAGAATAGCACTAATTTCAAGTTTCTGAATAAACAAAGCTGACAGACTAAAGACATCACAACAATAAAGGCAATACAGTCGTTGCTACATAGCCACTGGAGGCTGTGTGGTAAAGCTGAAGTGTGTGATATTCAGGTCACATCTTTGAATTTCCTCACAGCACCATGATAGCCAACAGTATATAAATATCAATTTATACTGCTAGAGTGAAATACCAATGTACTGGGTCTATGTGACAAGGTTTTGGTAGCGGGGACTACAGAGACGGCTTCTGTGAGACGAATCCAGAAGCTGCCTCCTGTCAGATAAGAGCCAGTTTCAGCTAAATCCAAAGGGGACCCGCCACTGGCCAGAGCCAAGCCACGAGCAACAGTGTTTCTGCCTCAGTGAGAGCGTATTTAAGGAAAGGAGTATATTTTTATTTTTTTTTTTCCTAAACTCTTAATTTCCAAGATTATATAGAATAGCACAGCTGGGAGAGAGGTGTGAGAAGCAGCCCTGCAGCCCCCAGGTGAGTGCAGCAGGAGGGCAGGAGGTGCTGCAGGCAGGCAGCAGCAGTTCCCCTGCGGGCTGTGCAGGGAGAGGCCCCTGGTGGAGCAGGCTGTCCCCCTGCAGCCCATGGGTCCCCCATGGAGCAGATCTCCACGCTGCAGCCCCCCCATGGGTGGAGGAGCCCCCGCTGGAGCAGGTGGATGTGGCCTGGAGGAGGCTGCGGCCCATGGAGAGCCCCCGCAGGAGCAGGCCCCGGGCCGGAGCTGCAGCCCGTGGAGAGGAGCCCACGCAGGAGCAGGGGGTCTGGGGGGAGCTGCCCCCACCCGTGGGGGACCCGTGCTGGAGCAGTTTGCTCCTGGGGGATGGATGGATGGACCCCGTGGGATGGAGACGTGTGGGAGCAGTGCTTGGAGAGCTGCTGCCTGTGGGCAGCCCCCGCAGGCTCAGTTCAGAAGGACGGCATCCATGGGAGAGACCCCACGGGGAGCAGGGTCAGGGAGGGACCCTGAAGGAGCGGCGGAGACGAAGTGCTATAGAGTGACCGCAGCCCCCATTCCCTGTTCCCCTGCACGGCTTGGGGGGAGGAGGTAAGAAGAGTATGCATGGGGGAAAGGTCTTTTTGTTTGTTTGTTTGTTTGTTTTTAGCTTCTCATTTCTTTAGCTTGTTAGTAATAGGTTAAAAATGACATAAATCTCCCTGTGCTGAGTCTGTTTTGCCTGTGATGATAATTGTCAAGTGATCTGCCTGTCCATTTCTCAATCCTTGAGCCCTTTGCATCATATTTCCCCACGCCCCCCCTCTCCCTTTGAGGAAGGGGAGTAAGATCTGTTGTGGTGGAGCTCAGCTGCCGAGTTGAGTAAAACCACCACAATCTCTCTCGCCATCCGCCTCCCTGCTGCTCTCTGCTCAGTTTAGGTAACTGCCTATTCACTTTCCTGATTTTTGCAGATCCTTTCCATGGACACCTATCTGCACTTTGTAGAAAGGGAGAAGGGCTGGATGCTGTTAGTGAACTTCTCTGCTTCTGAAGAACTGAGACCCTTCTGGGACTCATCCACAGGTGGATAAATTAGCCATTCGATTGACCATTATTTTTATAATGAGTTATGGATTTGACTAGATCACCGAGTGAGCAGCAACTGTTCTCCATGGGCAACTAACAGTTGTAATGTCCATAACAGCAGCGCTCATTAGCACAACTCAGCGTGATGACTGAATATTGATTTTTCCTTTGAAAATATACTTGGGAGTCTTGGCTGATCTCAGAATTTCCTGGAAAATAGAGAGATCCCGTAAAATCTTCAGCTACTTCTGACATTTCCATTGCTTTCCCCCAAATTATATTCCTCCGAACTATTTATTACAGTGATTCAGTTGTGCAGTGGACAGGTGGGCCACAGTAATTCCCACAGGTAAAATCTGGAATTAAATTCATATGCCTAACAATACAGTGCCATTGTATTGTTATTTTAAGACTGTCTGACCTTGACTAAGTTATTAAGTAGGTCCATGATCTGTATGTTTTAAGGACCACACTGACCAGCAGCAGGAACTGTACTAAATAAGAAAGAGAAGAACTGAAGGTGAAGGATCTTTACAACATCACTGAGCAAAAGCCTCTGTAAAGTAAGTATGGATTAGAGTGATTGGCACCTTGGTGCTCTCCAAATCTCTGTCTAAAAATGAATGAAAATTGTTTTTGTCCTCTTACACATTGAAAAAAAAATGATTTGCCATAAACTTCTTGGGGAAAAACACCTGCTGCTTTATTTCCTGCTTTTTCTACTGAAAGTAATAAAAATACGATGGCAGCTTCCACGTGACAGACACTATCATCCACAGCTTTCAGGGCATCAGGATAAAACTGCACATGTAGGATTCGTTTTAGGCCATTTATTAATATCTAAATGAGGTATAAGTACATCTGATTGAACAATAAATGCTCCTCTGTGCTTTGGTTCCATTATGACTTCTCAATAGGTCCACTATGACTCATTATAAAAAGCAGCACTCAACCAAAGAAAACTACATGAAACAGATGAGGCTTAATGTTTTCTATAAACCTTGTATTACTCTGGTTAAATTAGAGTGGAGTCTGTGTCCTTCCAAAGAGGTACCCAGGTCCATGCTTTCAAAGGCGCTAAATTTCTGCACTCTCATTCCAGCTTTAGCGGGGTTGGACTTTAGGTACCATTGACTAAATAAAATAAACATTTGGATTAATTAGAAAACATGCATAGAAGGTGAGTGGGACATAGCTAATATGCCAGTGAACTACATGTGACTTAAGTTGTATTCATAACTTTGAATGAGGACATATGCTAACTAGGAATATATCTTTCACTGGGAAACAAGAGTTGTAACCAAAGAAAAAAAAAAGAGACAAGCAAATTTTACAATGCTTGCAGTGTTTATGTGGACAAATACATGGACAATCAATTACAGATGGAAAATAAAATAATTACTAAAATAATTACTATGTTGTGCAGATCTCTGGACTGCAAATCCACTATTGTGTCAGAATCAGGACGATGCATAGTAAATTAGGGTGTATTAGAAGAAAAACAAGCTAACAAACAAACAAAAAACAGGATCAGAGGAATTATAAGGAATTCCTTATAAGGAATATAAATAAAGGGGCACTCTTTTCAAAAAATGAAAAGCTTTGTTGACTGCTATTTCACATTACTTCACAGTTATATAAAATTTGCATTCAATACTCAATATTTCAGCATTTCAACTGCTCGCCAAAGTACCTAAGTATTCATGCTTGCTTTTTGATCCCTCCCTCTGTGGAGAAAAAAATTAAGGAATACATACAGAAAATAATAATTTAACGGAAAAACTTCTGAATTACACAATGTGTTAAATTATTATATTTGATTTTTTTTTTCAGGTGCAATAATATACCGTAGTAGGAAATTTTGTGAAAACATCAGGCATTTGGTAGGGAAGAGGAGGAATAGCAGGATCTGTACAATAAGTTTCAATTTTTGCACAAGCACTAAGATCATATCTGTCATTATTTAAAACTAAATAATAGAATACCGACTTGCTTCCAAAAATATTTTGCTTTTGATAGATAAAATATACATCTACTGATAACCTGTGTTTTATGAAGAAGGTAGTTTGTTTTGAAAGTGTAGGTGTTTGTCTCACTCTAATAAAGGAAAATGTTAAATAGGACAAACTCTTTCACCCCTCTTAGGTCTTTCCAGAAATCTGTTTGTATAGTCACAGATTTTAGGACACTGCCTCACATGTCTGAATCTGTTTTGATCTAGGGAATTGCCTTCTCCACTATTAAAAACAGTATGCTTAATATATTTAGGAAATAAACACAATGCAGGCACCAACAAGGCTTTTTCCCAAAACAAGTCTCCATTTAAAACTTTATTTTGTATGTTTGGAACACCACAGGAAACATAGAAACTTGTAGGCACAAATGACTTAATATCCAATTTTTGAATAAAATATTTGCTAATGAAATCTCAATGACACATTTTTTGTGATATCTATATAACTTAATACATACGATATACATACAAAAGTCATGCGTTGTAAAGAGTTGTTTTCTCTATATGTTTGAGTGCTAAAGTTCACTGTAGATTTTATATGTTAAATATGTCATATTTCTTCCATACACTTTAAAGAGTTTATTAGACTAATATCACATCCCCAAAGAAAACACTAAATGTAATAAAGCTGCGTATTTTCTTTGTATTTTTTCCTGTATTAAAAGGATAAGTAATAGCAAAACAAATGTTTTAAAACAGCTGACATATATGTAAGATATGCATAAACTAGTAGTATAAACCAGAATGACAATGCAAGGGTATAAAATATGTTCTGTTTTGAATCTGTGGTCCATGAGTAATATTGCTTCTGTACCGGCCTTGCTTTGATACATGCAAGTCCATGAAATAATTCATGGCTCATTATGTAGCACGAGAGGAATGAACTGGGAATTAAAGGAAATGGTTCTTAAGACTAACATTTGGCAGCTACTTGTTTAATTTCCAGCTTTGACACATAATTACTCTTTTCTTTCTATGAGGCACATTCAGCAAAAGCCAGGGGCCAAATTTCAGCCCGTAATGTCCTTGCCATCATAACCTTTTTGGTCTAATTCTGATCCCCTACTCTGTACCATGCAAATAATTGTTTCAGCTGAAATAATAATTCTAAAAGGATAATTTCTCTATATGGCCTTCTTTGTTTTGGTTTCTATTGTAATTCCATGCTGGTCTCCTAGAAGTGCACTATGCATAATGACCTTTTGGCATCAACCTGTTAGCATCAGTGGGACATCCTTGTCCTGCTGACCTCAGTATATGACTCATTGTTCCCCAAGTGTAGTCCTGCTTTGGATTTTGCAGTTCTATTAGTGGAATCCAGTGCTGTAAAGATAAGTATCTTGAACCATTTGCTTACAAACAGAGTAAATGTATAAAAATGTAGAAAAGTCATTCTAAACATAGTGCTTTTGAATGTTTTGCATCCCTGATCTGGAAATATGGTTTGACCTATTGACACACTGAGAAAGAAAAGATGCACTTAGCTGTGTAAACTATACCAGGCTTCTTTATATGTTTTAGGAAGTATGTAAGAGTCTGAAGACTCAGTCTGACCAAAGGCAGACAGAGCACTGGATGGGGACCGGGGAGATCTGTTTTTCTACCTTGGTCTGTCACTAACCTGATGGGTACCCTTGTGCAGTTGCTTTCTCTCTTTGTGCCTCAGTTTCACCACCTGCAAAGTTAAGGTAATGATGCTATCCTTTGTGTAAAGCGTTTTGAGACTTATGGAGAAAAAGCAATGCTTAAGAGTCAGGAAATTATTGCTAAGGAAGAGTCTTAGCCTTTTTTCCTGCTCTCTCCAGTTTTCTATCATAAACACCAAAACTTTTTCTTCTTTAAATCAGTAGGAGTTTTACACTTGATGTTAATGCTGCCAGGACTTCTTCTGAGTAAACGACATAAATTGTGCTCCTTTCTAGATAGTGCTAACAGCAGATTTTGCTCAAAGACATATACTATCACACTACCTATGAAATATCTGCACTTTTGTTTGGAAAGGTAGAAGGTAAACAAGCAATAGCTTTAAGAGCAACAAGGTAACAATTCTTAATGTTAATACTGCATTTGAACATCTATTAGAAGACATTTATAATGCAACAGCATGCATACTACTACTAATAATACTTGACGGCATTTTCTCATAGTATGGTTTTGATGTAAAAGTTTCCCTAAAATATGATGTTGGTTTTATTATTTCAAAGCAGTTCTTAATGTGCAAACTGTAGCTTATACAATTTTGATGTGTCTTTTTAAAAAAAAAAAAAAAAAGTATGTGCTTCTTTTATCTTTGATGATCTTTGTTATGAGTTGGATACATACTTTATTCATTCATATAATTTTTTTAAAAAAGTTTTAAGAGAAATCCAGAAAAGCTCACATTTTTAGCATTTATCCCCTTTAGAAGATTTTGAGAAGAACAGTTTCCCCTGACAGAGTGGTTCAAACCAGTTTTTTTTTATTATTATTATTTCTATTCTGAGCCTTGTATTGCTCTGTAACACAGTACTGATTGTAACTCTTAATATGCCAAATCCTGTAGTACTTACCCAGCAAGTCTTCTGTTAGAGACTCTTGTGGGTCCTAACAGCAGATGTAGGATTTGGCTATATAAATAGTCACAGCAGTTCAAATTGTGTGTTTAAACAGTGAATATAAAACCCTTTAGGCATTATAAAGGCAATAAACCTAGCAATGTATGAATGCAAAACCATTCTAACTGGAATATAGTGATGGAAAGAAGTTTTACTCAACTAATATGGTAATTTGAATGAAACCTTTCTGTACTACACTGACCTCTCTCCAACAGCGTCAACAAGTTCAACAAACTTCCAGTCCGTTTGCAGATCACACTATCTGTTCATTCCTCCATCAGCAGTTCTTAAACTGAGTCTTTTCCATAGAGGTTTTGTACGGAACTCCCCAGCCAGTCCTCCATGGAAAGTATACTGTTTGTACGTACACACTGTTTTTATGATCTGACATTCTCCAACGGCAAACATCTGTTCTTCTGAAATATCATGGGGTCAAAAGTACACGTCATTCCTGGAGTGATAGGTGCAGAAAAGATGATCTCCATCTCTGGCTTTTCCTCATCTTCCAGTTCAAACTTTGTGCCATACAAGAAAGACATCTCATGCTGGGGGTGGTAGAGAAAATCCCCATTCCTTCTAACTGTGCTAGCTCCATACTTCCCTTTAGTGAGAATTAGTTTATTTGACAGTCAGTACTGAAAATTGCACAGAACCATTTGTCCACAGCACTCTTAAAAGAGTACGATAACTTCATCCAACATGCAGTTGTATGTCCTAGGCTTCTTTGTTGACATCGGTTTTTCTTTTAGCATTATACATTGCCTTCCAGTGCAGTTACATGCAAATATAAATAATGTTATGATGCTGACTTCCCAAATCTTCCACAGTATGCTAAACATGAATTTTCTTTTCTTGTGTAAATTATTAAATTAGGTATCCTAACCAATCTTTTTTTTTTTTCCAGTTCCTGATATTTTTTTCCACTGATATCTAGAACACACAATTTTTGACTTTTTTCATAGTAATCACAATAACTCATTTTTTTCAAATTACAAATATTTCTTTCAAAACAGATACCAATCAATAAGGTCTTGTATAGTTGTTTGCTGTCTGTAGGTAATATCAGGCAGGTGAGACAGCATTACTCCTGGCAGTGCAATATCACATGACCACACATTTGCCTTTCAGCTTCTCTTTCCTTTTCTGTTGCTTACTTTTTTTGCCATCAATTTGTAAACTCACAGTCCTGCGTTTCTCCAGGTTTAACAGCTCTTGGAATAACTCCTTCACGTTGTGGTTAAGCTTGGCAGAGGTCTCCATGAAGGCACACTTCCACTTCTTGGCCATGGCTTCTCCTTCACTGCTGTCCACTTCTCGATTTTGATTCTCGTCGTTTTTGTTCCCAACCAGCATTATAGGAATGCTTTCTACATCTCCCTTAATCTGACATATTTGTTCATAGATTGGTTTGAGTTCCTCCAAGGACTGTCGGCTGGTGATAGAGTAAACCAAAATGAAAGCGTGTCCCTTAGAAATAGAAAGACGTTGCATGGCTGGAAATTGATGGCTTCCAGTAGTGTCAGTTATCTGCAAAGTGCATATGCTTTTATCACAGCTGATCACCTGCCGATAGGTATCTTCTATGGTAGGAATGTAGCTCTCTCTGAAAGTACCTTTCACAAATCTCAAGACCAGAGAACTTTTGCCAACTCCTCCTGCCCCAAACACAACAACCCTGTAATCATTGCTTTGCTCTGGCATGTTTCTTGCTGTGTCTGTTGCTCAGCTAGAGAGAAAAATCTAGGAAAGAAAATAAAAACAACAACAATGACATTAATGCAGGTAAATTCAGGGGTTATACTTATCTTTTCCCAGAAGAGAAATGAATGTGGTGGAAGTGATGACATAATCTGCAATAGTTAAGAAGCCTTGCAGTGGGTCATAGAATTATTTATTTCAGTAGTAGCTTTAGGACTTGCAGGCCAGCCTGGAATGGTAACAAAAGACCGTCTTCATCACTTCATGACTTATTTGAAATGAACATTGTGATTCTAAGTATTATTCTTACTGGACTAACATCACTAGAATAAAAAAGCTACATCCAGGAACTGATATTTTGGCAAGGCCAGGGCCTGAAAAATTATATAAACTGAACTACTCCTTTGTCTCTAAACAAAGTGTCTTCAAATCATCATCAAAACTGTGGAAGACACATGTACAACAGTCAATTACTCTAAATATCTTATCTCTTCATAGTTAGAGAATTTATCTGCAGTGCCACTAGACAACATGCATTCATGGCATGTTAAAAATATTTGAAGATTATTCAGCAATAGCACCAGATTCACTTTGTTTCTAACTCTTTGAGAGTGTGTAGCCCAGTTTTATACATTTTTCCACTTTCATTTCAGGACAAAGAGTACAACTTGATAAACCTAGATAGTTTATGTTCAGTTTGACTTTTCATTCTAATGTTTATTTCACAGCAGATGATATTTGATTGGAGATATGCTATACTTATCAGAAAGGTAGTGAAGGCATCTTCACAACATTTTTAAGTGGTCCATATTGCCAGGCTTGGCAAATTCATATGTTAGCTGTCACTCTGATCTCTGAAGTTAGTGACATTTGACAAAAAGTATCTGTAAACATTGTGACCACAAATATTGTCATCATGATTAAATAATAAAAATGGTAGAGCTCTCACAGAAGCTCTCACAGGATTGAAAGCTATGGTTGTTTTTGAATACATTGAAATAAAAATGAAGATGAATTGGTCCTCCTATCAGTAGCAGCTCATTAGGTACACAGCATGTACAAGTCTCATTTTTGTTTAGTGAGATTTAAGTAAATGAACACTAAACAACTGAACCCTAGGAGGTGAAGAGAGTCTAGGATATACTTGCTTTTCAGGCCAAAGCAAGATAAAGCGTAGTATAAATATGTGGGACAAACTGCAAAATGTGGTGCACACTTGTTTGTTCTGAGGAAATTGGGATGATTTAAGAGGGAATATAGTAATTGAAATACCAGTCTCTTGTCCAAGTGCCCCAGTGGTGGTTGAAGTTGCCTGTTGTAATGTTGCCTAGGTAGCAGCTGATCCAGAACAACCCACAGGGCTTCCTTACTGAGTCAGGAAAGCCTTCAAGCTATTTCTTCACTACAGCTGAAAGAGAGGTTGTGTTGTGGAGCAGAATTTTAGGTTACCATTTATCTGTGCAGCACAGGGAGAGTAGCAGTAATGTTGTAGAGGTATGAATGTGAGTAGAGCCCCAATGGCCTTTCCCCAGTTTCCAGCCGACACTGAATTCTGTATTTCTCCATCTTCAATGCCATTGCTGCCTGTGCCAGTTAGATTAAAATTGTGCCTGCCCATGCTGCACTAATATTTTCATTTTGCTGTTCAAGCGTACTCTGATTTTGTTATCCTTCTTGTCCAGGGCATCCCTAGTCTTTCCTAATTCTTATGTCTGAGTAAGCTGAAAACATCTGTCTTTACATAATGTGTTGGATGAAGGAATTGTATTTCCTCATCTGCCACACCATAGGCGGAATAACCATTGCAATTGGGGATGCTGATCCTGAGGCATAGCGCAGAGCTGTCACAGCTCTGCCTACCCAGCCTAGCTTCAGGCAGAAGGCAGCTTCACCCCCTTCCATCTCTCTATGCTGCAGTCACTGTCACTCTCGGAGACCTGTTTAAATATAGGAAGGAAAGACTGATAAATAAGGGTGTTTATCCTGAGGCACTGAAGCAAAATTGTTTCTCTCTGCCAGTAGAATTCAAAGAATTGAATAGTCACAGAAAACTCCAGTGTAAATGTTTATATAAGAGGAAAACCCTCTGAGGAACAAGAAAAATGTGCAAACAGCTCATGCTGTTGAGAAAACAAACAAAATCAAAGTAGGTAGCAAGAAATAAGAGATGAGGAAGCTAGCAGGAACCTATTCCACTGGGAATAAACCTATGCATAAGACAGTTGCAAACAGGCAAACTGAGAAAAGTTGTAGAGCTTAGAGTTGTAGGTGTCTGCAGAGAATGAGCTACCATGAGTTAATAATTTCTATGAGCAAGAAGGCAAGAGAGAAAAGCATGACTACCTCACCTCTGAAGCAGCTTAAGTGTTGCACAATCGGATAATATGTAGCCTAGAAACAATAGGATAATGAGGAGAAAAAGAAAAAAAAAAAAAAAAAGCATTTGAAAAAAAAGGCAAAAAAAAAAAAAAGCATTTGACGGTAAAAAACAGTGAAGCATTGTGAGTAAAAATTAAAATTAAAAAGCTGCCTTGTGTATTCCTTTTGTATTAAACTGCTTGCTTTAAGTATACTCAGAAATCTCCAAGAAAGCTGGCACATACGATTGCCCAAAAGTTAGAATAAATTGAAATGTGACATTTACGGTATAAAGTATTAAGCATTTGAAAAGCTTCTAAGGGAACCTGAAATGACATGGTAACAGTATTCAAATACATAATAAGTTGTTGCAAAGAGGGAGAGTGTGTACCTATAGTGCAGAAAATTAGATAGATGGATAGATAGATAGACAGACAGACAGACAGACAGACAGATGAAATGGAATTAAAGGGATTAAAAGGTCTAAATTGCAGAAGAAAATTTCATATTAGACAATAGACACTGATGGCCCATGCTTAGCCTGCTGCCTACTATGGTCCCAGGGCCTTTTGCTACAGAGTTGCTCCCCACCTTTTGGGCAGCCCTCAACCTGGGCCATTGCAAAGAGTTAGTCTGTCCCACATACAGGTCTGTTAATCCTAAAGTCAATCATTTATACCAACATAACAAATAAAGATTAATATTTTTTTGTCCTGTTCAGGAGCTCGGAGCAAACAGCATAGAAGGCATTTTAATAGCACAGCAGAAAGGCTTCCATGGATAATTATTACTATGTAGTTATATTCTCTTGTGTATCTCTGGTCAGAGATTCTCCTGCAGTGAAATTCATCCTGTGTGACTGCGGTGCACTTGCACCCGGTAGTGCATTTATTAATGTGTTTTATACTGCCCTATTAGGGTATTGACTTTTCTTCATCTTGAAGTGCATTGATTAAAACACACAACAAGACAAAGTAAAGTCCACATTGTTTCACCAATTCTTTCTCACCAATGTGGGTATGAAAAAATGAAGTTGAAAAAAGTTTCAATTTTCAGATGCACAATATCTTCTTCCCTTATCCATACTTCGCAAACCTGACCATTTCACATTTTGCATATACAAAGCAGCGGTTGTTTTTTACACTAAATGACTGACTTATCCATGAGTTTGTGTCTAATAGACTCACTTGCAGCTTTTGATATGTGTACAAATTTCATAATCAAATTTAGCATCCACTAAAGTGTCAGGTTTAATGAAACTATCCTCACTTAAGAAGACAAAACACTTTTCATCACATGTATTCATACCCTTCCTGTTTTAATTGGTCATTTGCAGAGTTCAGAAAGTTACTGCATCTCCATGTACCTTTGCTGACTTAGCTCTGTTGTCTTCAGTTATTCTGCTAGCACGAAGACTCAGCTGCTGATCTCAGTGGGCTGTTGAATGGGACAAGGTCTGCCTCCAGTTCAGGCTCAGCTATAGACCTTTACTAGCTGCACGGGAATGCATTCTTTTACTAGCTGTTTCTGACATGTCAGGTAAAAGAACCAAATCTTTATGAGAGTAAGATACAGTTTAGGGGCTGAGTCTTTTTGATATAAAACTGACCAGCTAATTAGATAAAAAATATCAAAAATGTGCATTTAAATGTTTGAAGGTACCTCGCATTACAGATTATGCAGTCAATAATTTAAACTCTTGATATTCTTTGGGTGAGTAATTACATGTGGGTATGCTATCATCTACTGAATCAGTGCCGCCAATCCTGTATTTAGTCACTGTATCTTCATAGTTATCTTCTGCCTATAAATAGTTTTTTTTTTCTTTTTTTTTTTATCTCACTTGTCTATCCGTTATATTTATGATATGACTATTATGTTTGTATTTGAGCCATTAATAATATATTATTTCCCTTTCACAGAAAAACATAATAAATAGGAGGGCTAAATTCCTACACATCAAATATTTGGGTTTAGAGTAGAGACAGATTAGGATAATGTGTAGGCTTATGGTGCTAGTAAAACCTTTCTCCTTTGTAAGCAGGTAAGAAAAAAAGTGTTCATCCTCCAAACACAGTTTTGGTTTTGTTGTAAAAGATTTTAACCATGTTGCATTGTCAGAATTCCATACAATGTCACATGTTGCAAATTTCTATGAAATTGTTTGGCTAGATGGTATGTTTTAGGCTGGCATTCATTTTATGAAAACAAACAAACACAAACAAACAAGAACTGATACTACATTTATTACCTGGAGTCAGAGGCTTTAATTTTGTCTTAGGTGATCCAGTTCTTGAGCTTTTATTGCATCCTCCTGAGAAGTCTGTCTAATATGCAATACAGCTATTGTTAGACACTATGTATTAATTTTTAAAACCTCTTTTTCCTAACATTAAATCATCTCATGGTAGTCACTGATTATTAATTAATCAAATAAATAATTTATTAAGCCTAAGGACATGTCTTTGTTTGCATTCTCATTGTTCAGAAGAAAATCCAGTTAAGTATGAGCAATACATTTAGTTTAAAATCTTACATTGATATAAAATAGCAAACCATCTGACTATCTAGTCATGACACTACTATACAAAGATACATGGTGCAAGGTGGAGAATAATAGAAAATGCAGGAATAAGATAAACTTCAGTGTGGTTGCAAGGATGGTGGCTGTTTCATTATGTTGAAGATGGAAAAAACTTACAAACTATATACAGAGGGTTTCCACACAATTTTTACTTGTCTGTAAAAAGGCATTTCTGTGGGAATACTTTCAATATATTTGCCAATGAACAGAGACATAAATATAGACATAAAGAATGGGGATTTTTCTACTTCTGGTATTTCCATCTATTACAACTAGACTCTTTTATTCTTTACCCTTCCTTTTCTTTGCCTGCTTTGCTTTGTTCTTTTCTTCTCAATAGAAATTATGACATGTTTGAAGACAAAGCAGCTTCAAAACATAAGGTTCTAACGTGTGTGGAAAGCACTTTTTTATTCTTATGCTGAACAAAATGTTCTCTGAAAGCCTGCTTCTTGATGATCAGCTAATGTAAACTGTGATTTCTTCTCTGCAGGAATGTTGTAACACTTAATTTATGTCAGCTCTGGCTTTTATGCAGGTGTTGTTCTTGCTATCTTTGTTAGCAGAGAATAATATTTTCATACTGTTAATGCCTGTGTCAGTGATATTTGAGAAAAGCCTTGGTCACAGATAAATATCTGTTGGAAACATCTCATCTTTTAACATGATATTTATGTAAAATAGGAGGACAGCTGGCCAAGTCACATCTACATAATCTGTCCATGCATGGATTAATGGTACTAATAAGGGTAATTAAAATTATTTGATGCATTCAGAGCAAAAATGCTTCCTGAGTTGGCTTTACCATGTCAAAATTTCAGTTTATTTATACATTGATGAATTCCTTGCACTTGAATTTCAGTCTCTGATACTTATGTTAACAGCTACTATCTGGAGGTTGCTGAATATTAGATTAAATAAATAAATACAGGTTAAAGGTTACTTATTCATACTTTTTGCAACTTTTTAGATACCTTCACAAGACAAAATTACAGGTGGGCATTTTGGACCATAGCTTCTTCCATACAAATTGAAATTGAAATGCAAAAATGTCAGATAGCAATTGACTACATTTTGCTTAAGGTATTTATGCAGTGCCAGAAACCTTTAATCCAACTGACCAAAGATTTCTCTGGGGTTTCTTGTCTCTAGTGCAATTTGAGCAAAGTGTCTTGCTTTAGTCCAAAAAAAGTAATTTTTGCCTACAGCTGTTCTACCTAATACCTCTTGGAAGAGCAACTCATTCTTAGGAAATGTAGTTTTGCTGATGATGATGACTAATGACTTAAATTAGTTGCTTCCTGGGTCTCCAGCACCAGTTATGTTGTTGTTTCATAGTAATAGTTTTTTGTTTGTTTGTTTTGTTTTGTTTTATTTTGTTTGCTAATTAGCCTAAAATATCATGACAGGAGTACCTCCAAGACCAAAGTTTATGCAGTTCACTGACTCCTGATGAAAATAAACATTGATCTCAATCAGCTCTGCATGATGGTGAAAAATAATGCTTCAAAATAAAAGCCAGCTTCAAAAACAGTGAAGAATGATGTGCTTCAGGATTCCCAGCACTGAGTGGCCAAGAGCTAATGTACTGATTTACCAAAAGAAAGCTGCATAAATGTTATGTATAGTGTTGGCATCATGAAGATGTGGCCTGTAGGTCCCAAGATCCAATTGAACATTGTTTCTAAAATCTGCATATACAACATTCACGTAGTATAGGAGCTCTTGACAGTGAAAGGAACATTAAGAAGATCAGTAATTTTGGCAGGTCAGTAGATGTAGCAGTTACACTTGATGTGAAAATTTGCAGGTAACAAGTCATATTGACCAAAGAGAATTCAACTTCTGGACACCGAAAGCAGCTTAATAATCTAAGATCTGTGGAGAAATTACTGAGTGTGACCCACAAAAAGATCTCACTGAACGGAGCTTTTGGAATTCCAAATTTATTTTCAAAATCAATAAAAATATTGGGTGTTGTAACAGGCAGACAATGACATCCAGATGTTCTCAAGTATAGTTTGAAAGAAAAGCAGTGACAATTTAGTAGTTTGTACCATCAGCCAGAAGGAAGGAGACCAGACAGAGCTGCATACAAAATAATGTCCTCTTTGAAAATAATAAACAAGGTTGCATGTCATAAACCTACGTTTTTTCTCTGACACACTGGCTTTGTTATAGCATTTGCTTGATATTATGTCTGAAAGTAAGAGGCTTAATCAGACATTCTTCTTATTCAACATACTCATAGGAAGCACAAATTCAATCTACAAATTCAGTTTGTTTGAATGGAACCATACAGTTTTAGAGGTGGACTCTCTACCATAATTGATTTTTTTTGAATTTGAATAGAAAATTTTGAAATTTTATATATAATAGAAAAATTGATAATGAAAACATGAACATTTTATCATGAAGACATGATAATAGAAAATAGAAAATTTATTGTTAAAAATTTACTAATTGAAATGAAAACAGCGTCTCAGTCTGTACAATACTGGATGGGACTGAAAGAGCAACAAAATAAAATTACTCTGTACAATCAGAAAGGAATCAAACAAAGTGGGTACTCTGGAGGAGTTTGGACTAAGTGATCATAGCATGTACTTTCAAGTATCTAAAAAAGAGAAAAGAAAGAAATGAAATATATATATATATATATCAGTATTTCAATGTTAGCTAAATTGTTCTTTGCATTTGGGGCCAGATTGTCCATTACATTGCAAATGTGTGTGCATATACAGTCTAGTTGCTAAGCTAGTAACTAGAATTCACACAGAATCACAGAGGATGGCTGGGATGTTTGGGGACCTCTGGAGGTCGTCTGGTCCAGTGCCTCTTCCTAAGCAGGGATACCTAGGGCAGGCTGCCTAGGTTCATGTCCAGGTATCTTTTGAAGATCTCCAAGGAGAGAGAGTCCACAGACACTCTCGGGCAACCTGTGCTTCCTGATGTTCAGAGGGAACCTCTTGCATTTCAGTTTGTGCCCACTGCACCTTGTCCCTGGGCACCACTGGGAAGAGCCTGCCTCTGACCTCTATGCACGTTCCCTATTCATTGTAAATGTATACTTCTTTCAGGGAGGTTCTCTTGAGAGCTTTAGTAGATTCTGTATATACTGCTGCCTTAACATAGAGTATGTAGAGTAGTAGAAAGGATAACAGTCTTTCAGAATAATTTGTCAGTTTTTTCCTGTATTTCCAGAAGTGGGATATTGTCTTAAGAACACCTGTTTAATGACAAATGTGCATTTAAAAGAGGTAGAATCCTATTTACTATTCTGTGGTCAGATATGTCATGTTGTCCTCTAGCAAATTGTCATGTTTTTATCGTGCCCATGTTGAACATCTCATTTCCCAAAACAACGCCGTTTCAAAACTGTTCGAGCCCCTATAAATTATATCCCCTATATTATAGCCTATATCCCCTATATTATAGACCCTATAAATTGTATCAAATGGATCTAGATTTTTTTTCCCTTGCTAAAACAAAGAACCCAAACCTATAGTTGTAAGAAAATCTTCACAAGCTCTTTTGACTAATATGTGTCCAGCTGAAACTGTTGCAGTAGTTTCACTAGGCAACAAAGAACTGGAAAAAGAAAGAGGAGAGAATTAGATATGTTTTCTATATGGCCAATATACAGCATTGATGTCTAAAACTGAAGTTATAGAAGTATTGTTTCATGTTGAAGAAGGCAGGATTGAAGACAGAAAAAGAAATTATGTGGAAGTGTCTATTGATTTCCTTTTCTGCTGTGGGTTTATTTGCACAAAATGCTGAAGATGCTAGGACTCACCCAACATTGAGCTTTGGAGTCAAGAGTATACTTTTTTTGTCTGTTGTGGTCCAAGACCTTTCAGAAGAAGCCCTTTAGTAATGTATATATACTAATGAATTGGTACCATAAAAACAGATTTAACATATTTGAACCTACTTACCACATGAAAAATCTTTCCCACTTTCACAAACAGAAATGATATCAAATACCAAGTTTACCCAGGGTGGACTTGTGTCCTACTGGTTGTCACTTTCCAGTAAGTGGACTGGGTAATCTTAAAAAAAAAAAAAAAAAAAAAAAGAGAGAGAGAGAGAGAGAGAGAGAGAGAGAGAGAGAGAGAGAGAATTTGTTGACTCGGTTACTGTTTAAATTCAGCTTTACTTTAGACATGTTAGATACTTCATTGACTTAACTGGTACTGCTTTCATATTTATAATTCCATGTATTGTGAGATTCATGATAAAAATCCCAGCATGGAAAACAAGACAGTTGCGTATAAATGTATGCATTTACACAGAAGAATGCACGTGTCCATGGAAAACTGGTTTCTGTTCAGTAGAGAAAACTGTACAAAACCAGTGGCCCTTTTGCCTTTGCTCCATAGTCCTCAATTCTTTAGTGTAAATTTGAGAATATTTGTCTTGTATAGAAGGAGAATCATCGAGAATCAAGGCTTGCTGACTTGTTCAAATGAATATAGATCCCATTGTTGCCTTTCTTTGGCATACACATAGCGATTGCTATCTTGACCACTGAGATACTTCTGGTATTCTTATACAGCCCAAATAATACCCAATTCAAAACAATGTGGATTAGGTCTAACTGAGAATATCATTATCTGTCTTGCTGTCCGTGTCGTACACGGCTAGTCCTCCAAAAACACTACCACCCAATATAATACACTTTGCAATTGCTTGTTAGGCAAGAACTTGTGAATTGGCTAATGCAGTTGGGTTCAGGACCCAGAATGATCTCTAGTGAGTGATTAAGCAATGCAGTTCCATTGTAAATAAGCTTCCAGGCACTTGGAAGAAGCCTGTGCTTCCACCAGAAATTGATGCAAATCAAAAAGGTCAAAAAACAGCAATTAAAGTATAACTCTGTGGTGTGATACAGGAATGACAGATGTCTGATATGTATTTCTAAATTTTCACAAGAAAATATTTGCTATTTAGGGGAAAAATATTTATTTTTTCTGCTGAATTTTTCTTTAACAATTAATTTGCAAATCTGCATCTCAGAACTTTCACAAAAATGATTAATTTTCTTACTGAAATTTTGTCTATTCTGAAGAGAAAAGTAATTTCTCTTTTTAAAATAAATAAATAAATAAATAAATAAATAAAAAGAGGGTTTGCAGCAATATTTTAGCTATTAGTGGTAGCCAAAATTTCATTATGTAAATTACTAACAATTTCAGAACAGATAAAAACTGTCAGTCTATATTTTCAAGCAAGAATATAAAAATAAATAAAAAAGGGTGCTTCTCCTATTCTTAACTTCACATTAATTTTAAGGCTGAACTACTGAACACTTAAAAGGTAGGAAACACCTGGAGGCCAGGGATGGATTTGCTCTTTTCATATGACTGCTTTCCAAAACACAGATTTTAAGGAGTGAAGTTAAAAGACTGTTATGACTTCATTGACGCTTATCCTGATTCACCTGAAACCAATTCTATTACCTCCAGTCAAGGTGAGGGAGATCGTATTTCACTGCCAACAGAGAAATCAGAGAATTGTTTTCATCTCCTACGCCAAAGTCTAACATTCAATTCAAATTGCTTGAGAAGAGGTGTTCCTGAACTCAGTGTCAGTGGAAAAGTGTCTGTGAGTGGCTGTCTGTCACAGCCTTGATACCCCTTTTTTGACATTTTTCTTGTCTTCCTTTGTTACTCATCTCAAGGATACAATAATCATACTCATATTCATACAACTCATACAATAATAAATATTTTTTGGCATTTTCTCAAAAAGGAAAAAAAAAAAGTATGTTCTGTTTCAATTTATGCATACAGTTGCATTGGCATTTAGTCTTTGATCACTGCTTTTGCAGCAATAAGATAATACAATTTTTTACATCTTTTCATTTTACTGCAACATAAAGAGTGTAGTGAAAGGATCCTTTTGCTGACATAAAAAATCTTTGGGTGGAAACTAAAAATAACAATCAGAATAAAGTTTTTTTTGTTTGTTTGTTTGTTTGTAACGTCCCTATAATTTGAAAGGGAAAGTAATATTTTTAATATCTATTTATGTTTCATAAAATTTCATTTTTGTTCTAGTAGGTAAGACTGATAATTCTTCAATTAAGTCTAGTAGCACAAAACATTAAGGGGAAAGAAACAAATATTTGGAAGGAGCCATACACACTGAACCAAATCTTCCATGTCAGATAATGTTTCAGTTTCTGTATATGAATGGCCTGATACTCATGCTGCCTAGAAGCTGGAAGGTTCAAACGTAGCTCATTATTTTTTACAGAATAGTTACCGTTCTAGGTTCACTGCAAATTGAGAACAATCCAAAGTAATCATGTCTTCTTAAAAAAAAATAAGAAAAGAAAAGAAAAAAAGGAAGTAAAGTATTAGGTTAAAAAGAAAATAAGTGGAAGGGTGTATAATATAATATAGAGTTGAATGGGGTCATTCTGCAAGGACACATTTAAGCCAGAATATTTTTTATTGCAATTTTTCTAAAGTAAGCTAAGCCTGGGGGAATAGGGCATACTCCATCACAATGAAAAGGTGTCTGATTTTAAGACATGATGAGGAGATCTTCACATGGGCAGATCTGTTGGTTAGCACAAAAGTTAAGTTATCTGGTGAAACTCAAAGGAAAGTAAAATCAGCACTAGTAACAAACCAGAATAAGCACAATCAGTTTATATTTTATCTTTTTTTTTTTTTTTTTTTTTTATATATATATATATATATATATTACAGACTGCAGTGCTGGTGTAGGATAATATGGTCTTGATCTTTTGGGATGAAATAGGAAGGAGTCTTGCCTCTGAACTCCAGTCATTTTCTGAATAACTGCTCTGCACTATGAGAAGAGGATATTATCCAGTCATTTTCTGAATAACTGCTCTGCACTATGAGAAGAGGATATTATCCAACCTGATGACCAGCAAGGCTTATGCATCTGCTGTCGGGCCACTGTTGTGTAAACATAAGTGCAGCACAACCTAGAAAAAAAATATGCTTGCATTTGGCTTTCTTATGGGACATGTGGAAAACTGTGTGTCCAAAGATGTTGACCCGTTTGCAGAGAGATTTTTCAGTATAGGCAACATCCAGTGAATAGTTATGTAGCACTGGAAGAGACCTTCTGGAGTATCAAATCCAATTCTTTGCTATTGCAGGCAAGCATTTAACATAATCCTTTCCATTGAGTTCCAACAAAAAAAAAAAAAAAAAAAAAAAAAAAAAAAAAAAAAATCAGAACCTTTTCTTTCTATTAGAGGAACAAGAAAGTAATTTCAGTACCTTGCCGCTCTAATGGTTTGAAAACGTCTACCCTAAGTGTATTCGCATCCCATTTATACCCATTTGTCCTTTGCTTTACCAGAGAAGATAAATAATCGTACATTGCAGTCATTCTACCGGACTTTCAGTTCCATGAGGCCACTGATTAGCAGCTGTGCATTTGAACCTATTCTGTGTTTGGATAGCTCCTCATGCATGAGCCTCACAAACATCGTGTGCAATGTAAGAGAGAGCACAAAACCTGGATGGGTACCCGTCTCACAGTCCCTGAACAATGGCACAGATGCCATTCCATGAGAAATGGGCACTACTGCATTTAGTCAGCACAGCTGGATCCCCTGGGGGCAGCTCCTGAAACACGAGTGAAGTCCATCAGTCAGAAAAGTAAGGGGAGGGGGGAAGAGGAGGGGGGAAGCAGACAAAATAACCATCTGACACAGAATTAACAACTGTGGGATCTGCAAAACATTCCCTGTACAATAAGTGTAAACACTGGCAAAGGTAAAACAGCTATCAGTTGTAACAGCTTCATTTATAAAGAAAAGCATCTGGACACACACATCACGTACCTGTAAATGGGTGCATTTTTAAGCAGGCATATGTACATCATATGTACATCCATGTACAATCAGGCACCCGTAAAAGCAAAAGATTTGGAAAATGCTTCAAAAATGAAATACATCAAATCTTGTTGCTCCACTCTGAGCTCACCCAGCTGTGACTGAGTGCTGCAGCATGCAGTACATCCCACATTTTATGGGAAAGACAGCAAGGAATTCGTACTAACTCTGAATTCATGTCACTCACAGACACTTGAGAATAACCCCTCATGAATTATTTTTGTTTATTCAATTGTGAATTGTAAAATATTCTAAGCAAATAAAATATTTTCCAGCTATGAGAGGAATGCTGCAAAGTTGTATTTGTTTCAAAGAAACACCTGGTGTTATTTTATTCCAGCTCAACATTTTTGAGTTCTTTCATCACATACGGTAAAATGTAGCTTTAAGATAAAAATAAAAACAAACAAATAAATAAAATCTCTCTTTAAATCACTGCAATGGCAGCAGTATAAAGTAGGACAAAATTCAGCACATTGAATTTTAATGAAGAAAAAAAAATAATGTTATGAAACCATTACTAGCATCCCAACACACAGAAAAATAATGTTATTTGGCTGGCCAGTATGCATGTGACCAGCTCCTGCCTCCCTTATCAGCCCCAGCTGATAGCATGCCATGTTCCCTACACACGACAACAACTTGTATCAGATCTTTCAGTCGTAACTCATGCAAAACTCTACTGACTTCAGTGTAATTTTTTCCTGAGTGAAGACTGTGAATGTTGGTCAGAGTAGGTAGAAAGACCTCTAATTAACTTGCAAAGCTATGTTTTTGAACAAGGTAATGCAGAAAAGCAACAGAAAAGAAAAATACCTGTGAAAGAACAGAATGCTCCAAAAACTCTTCAGTTTCTGCCTGTCATCGCACCAACTGTTCGCCCTTTCTGCTGTGGGTTTTCTCCACCAGAAAGGAGTCCGCGTCTTAATCAAGGGAGCTGTAGCTCTGTTGTCTGCCTCACGTCCTGTGCTGGCTGCTGCCTGCTGCCTGTGCTGGGGCTTGTGCTCCTGCAGCTCCACTCCTCTCCCGCTCGCTCCTCGAGCGCCTGGGCCGGGGCTGATGCTTTTGTTGGCTCAGCTGCAGCCTCGCTCTTTCTTTCCGCTGTTACAGATGGACTGACTCCAGCCTCCGCTGGTGCTCCTGCCTAAATGGCGACTGCACAGCTCATCTAGGCTTTTAACTGCCACCTACTGAATAATTGTGGAATATGTGTATGCATGTATATTTATATCGGCTGTGAAATTCTGGGTTCCTCTCCAGATGCAGTACATTGTCACAATTAAACTTTAAGCCCTCCAAATATTTAGTAGCTCATCACTAAAAGCTGTAGTTTATGTTAATCTGTGCTTATATATTTTTTTCTTCTTTCCTTTTTTTTTTTTTTCTTCCTAGAAGCTAAATATGGAACAAGCCTGTTCCTTTAACTTTAAAAGCTTACAAAGCCTTTGGTTAGGCTAATCCCCAGTGGGCATAAATCATCATAGCCCCATTCAAATCAACAGAACTCTGCTGATTTTTATAACGGCTGAGAAATTCATCGCTTAGTTCCAATATTTATTTGCAAAAGGACAATAGAAATCAAGTACTAAAAACATTCAGTAAAAACAGAATTCATCCAACAGAGCTCCTCAAAATTTCAGTCACTGGAAGCAGATGAGATAAATTTTTGGTGTGTGGTTTTAGAGACCAGTGTAAAATAGTTTTCATGGGTTTTATGGTCAAATGAAAAGTAAACAAGTACATTGTTTTTCCAACTCTAATTGTATTTTTTTAATGAAAAATCCAAAGACAAGATCTAATGCTTCCTTCAGCTGTTTACTTCTAAATCAGGTCCTAGAAATGCTCAGAAAGGGTTTTTCTCTCCAAAGCAGAAGTGGGGTCCAGCAGGAGATGTATGATCTCCCCCTCCAAAGGGAAGCTCATGCCATGGGTATCTCCATAAACTCTCGGGGGAAGGTGTGGGGAGATGGCACTTTATAACCCTGCTGCAGGGATGTGTAGCACTATGGTTGCTCTAAGCCTGCAACATGTAGATGGGCTGAGCCATGAAATAAAGGGGGCATGAGGAGCACTGCCCAGTGAAGGACAGGTGGCATCCAGCACTCCGGCACAGTGGTACTGAAAGTGTTCAATTTTTAGGCTTGCTGTGGCTGCTTAGAGAAACAAGGGTCAAGCAGTTATCTCACAACAGCTGCTACGGTTTGTTAAATGCCACCCTCAGTAACGGGTAGCTTTGCTTTGCTTGTTTTCATGAAACATTCATTCATTGCCTTAATGCTTTTGCTAGACACAGAAATGAAAAGGTTTTTCCTTTACATGTGCATTTTACAGACCTATAAGCATATTAGGATACAGGATGACCTGGGCAATAAGCCCTGAGGAAGTGATCTGTGCTAGGTGCAGGTCTGGTGCAGATTAATCCTCACCCCTGCCTGCACAGGCTCCCAGACAGCAAGTCCTGGATCCAACCACGTGCTGCTCCAAGCCACAAGCCTGCTTGAGCAGCCTGCTGGCAAAGCCCTGCCAAGGGTTTTGTCACAAGTATCAGCAATAATTTAATCCTGTGTGCTCAGAGAATTGGTTAATTAGTACCCTGAAAGCAAAAAGTCAAGGTATTATAAAACCATAATTACTGCAACAAAGCAAAGCTTAATCTATAAACTGTATAATATTACACAGGGATTCAGCTTTTTCCTGGTCCTGCCTCATGATAGCATGAGTGTAGGATATGGCCCCACTTATTCCAGAGTCTGCAAAGTGCTTCTGTAGTTACAAACAATGCAGATTCCAGTGATTACCAAAAGTAACAGATCTCAGACCTCAGCAAGAGTGCACTTATTGCAAAAGTTTCTTTCAACTTGCCTTAAAAAGTGGTAAAAGTACCTGATGAGCATTACAGTCATGGTCTGTGACAACTTTTATTCACTCAATTTATTCTAGAAGTCTGGGATATTTTAATTCTTGAACCCTATTCCAACAGGAAGCATGTTCAATCTTTCAAGAATGTGTCTTACAAACTCCTGATACTTTCTGAAATGCTGTTTACTTCAATTACAAGGACCATTGGTATGGCCTGCTTCCAAAGAAAAGAGATCTCTCACCTGCAGATCGCAGGCACCTGTCTGCACTTGCAGACACAAACTCTAGTTCTACAGCAGTCACCCCTTCACTCCTCCCATGGCAATCACAGTGAGATCTTTCTGAGCAGGAGTACAGAGCTACACCACTGCACTGCAATGCACTGTAAGGTATATTTGTATGGGATTTTCCTTCTTTGAGGAAACCTGTCATGGCAGCTTCTGCCCTCAGTGATGGCTTTGTAATGCTGCTGCATTTAACAGGCTTGTCCAGGTGTGCAAGGCTATGCAGGCTTCCAAATTCCAGGCATGCCTCACCTTGCCATAAATACAGAGGATTCACAGCCAATTCCACAGGCCTCATCCAGGATGGTACCATACATGCCAGCAGCTGCACATCAGAGTAATTTCCCACCCCAGTCTGACAGGGACATTGCTCCGAATGCTGGGTGTCAGCACTGGGACACAGCCCCAGAGGGAGCCTATGCAACCAGGATTGCACCCCAATGCCTCACGAGAGTGTGTTTCATTTGCAGAGCAACCAGGATCATAGAGTCCTTTTGAGTCCTTCACACCTGAGTCCTTCAGCCTAGCGTTCAGTCCTGCTCTGTTAGTGTTTCACACAACCCTGGCCTTGCTGTGCTGTTCACGCTGAAGAATTGCACCTCTCTCAGGGGCAGCAAGGACCTCTGCTGTGAAACCCTGAAATACATGTACGTACCAGTGCGCCCCATGCATTGCTGAGCAGAAGGGATGGTGGAGAGGGCAAAAGTACAAAGCCCCATGAGACTATTTCTATTAAAAGCTTCCATCACAAGGAAAAGCCTTATGCAAGCTACACAATTGTTGTGTCTCTGTACTGCTTAGGAACAAGAGACCTCCTTAGTTAGCAAAATATGAGCTGTCTTAAGCTTCAATGCACATTTATCACAAAACTGCATGTGTGCTCTGAAGTACAGCTTCTGAGTCAAAATTCAACCCATGGCCTATGTACAGCTTGCAAAAATGAGAAAAGCTTCTTCGGTTTCCCTGTAGGTTTAAGATGAAGAAAGCTTGCTCAGTTGTAAAGATTTTTTTTTATTTTTTTCTCTCTGCAAGGCAGGACAAAATCTTGACAAAAAGCGGCCAGCAGAGGTCAAGGGCTAGGCTCAGTTTTGTCTTTTCTGCTGTGTGTTTCTCCTGCTAATCTTTCTGCTCCCTGGAACGCTCTCAGTAAACCACATCCCAGCTAAAATACATACGCCTTCTCCTCCATACTTGGAAAACTACTGTTTTAGCTATGCAATGTCATAAAGAAATCTAGTTCTTCCCTACAACTATCCTTAAAAAAGGCTAATAGTTACCCTTGATCTTCCCACTGTATTTCTGAGTTATGTTCAAAAATGAGTTAATGATTTGGCTTCATCAGCAGTGTGTAGGAGTACATCAACTTTACAAAAGGTCTTAGCATTATTATATTTTTATAAAGGTTTACTGGTGTTTTCTTCCAACAGGAAGAAATTAATCTTCAAAAGAGGTTATTAGGAGTGTTTGTCCAGGATGGCTGATGGTCAGCAGTGGATCTGTTAATGTCTTGTACTTGGTGCAGTAATTAGATTCCTACTCTGCAAAATAGGAATTGTATTTGCAAATACAGTATGACTGTGGCTACAGGACAGGTTATCATAAAAGCTGTATTTTGGATTTGTGCACTATATTTAAATGGTACTTTCCACCACTTTGTAAAAGAATCATACAATTTGTGTGGTCTTTTTAATGTCTACACATTGCTTTGAACTTGAGAAGCTTTAAAAAAGATAGTAAAATAAATAAATAAAAAAATTAGTAAGTCTACTGCATATGATTCGGAAAATATAAGAATCAAATTATTCACTGCATCTTTACAATTTGGCTAACATGCACCATAGCCTACTTACAATGCACTGCAGGATGTGACTGTCACTGGTAAAACTTCATCTTATGTGTTAAACGTACTTTATCAAAACTCATACAGAGTGTTATCAGACAGTATAAGCTATACTACTGGTCTACAACACCAGTTGGAGTGTGTTACTGTACTATTTTCAAGCTTTCTTGGTGGATAGATGAGATACTGGTCCTACTGACTGTGATCTTTTAATTCATCACTTTGCAAGGCAATATCTTATTGCACCCAAAGGTTAAAGCATTAAAACAAATAAATTATTGCTATAATGAAATCTTAACTGCTCCTGGCTTGCAGTAATAGACAGTGGCTACTCCAGTGAAATGAGACAAGGCATTTTCCCTATTGAGAAGACATATATTTCTATAGACTGTAGAGGGAATTAGCAGTTTGGAGAAAATATATTCAGATCCCATACAATGTTGTTTTTTTGTTTGTTTGTTTGTTTGTTTTTCTCCTTTAGACTTCATTGGATTTTAGCCCAGGCTTTCCTACTGTTAATCAAAGCTGCAATATGATGAACACAGTTGCCTTTAGATATGCTCTTGACTTGCGATTTGCATTATTGTCTGTATTACTCTGAACCACAACTTCCAAGTTTTGATCTGGTTCCTAGAGAAGGGACTGACACAAGGAATCATTTTTTCCATTATTGCCTGTGTGAGGGTCGTAACTCTAGGGTCTGCTTCTGAATAACTGATAACAAGTAGGGTTTTGCTGATGATTTCCATAGGAAGCAAGACAGAGCTTAATCCCCGTTAACTTATTGGATATCAGATACCATAAGAGTGGTTGAAGGAGATTGACTATTGATTCTAATACCTGTCAAGGTACACAGGGGAGAGTGTTATTATTACTGAAAATTTGTAGTTAACTGCAGTTAATCTGATTTTCTGTGAAATGGGAAAAGAACACAGCACTGTTCTGTATTTAACATGATCACTTCTGAAAAGTATAATGATGACATTCATAATAACCAAAGAAGAACGGGAGTAAAATATATCTTTGTTTTGGAGAGCAAGAAAAGCTCACAGTTAATTGTCTAGTTTTCCCTTCTCCCCAGAAGCAGGCATTAAGTGATGTACAAACACATGCACACAGAAAGCAGTGAATTGACATCAATAAATCATACAGAGTAAATCATATAGTAAATCTATA